GTCGAACTGGTTAAGATTTTGGTTGGATACAAGATTTTGATTATTGGGATTTTGGTCGAACTGGTTAAGATTTTGGTTGTATACAAACTGATTACATATACTAGGAGTTTTATAATATCCTACGAAAAAATAATTGACATTTTGGTTGGTTTCGTCTTGATGAGATATCAACCCGAGAAAACCTTTAATCTGATCATTAGAATTTTTGTTGGATTTGTCTTCTTCGTAACTGTCTTCAAACAGATAATTAGTCGAATAAAACGCTTCTAATTCGGACGACATCTTCTTATAGGCTTCTCTGTGATTTTTCGTCAGTAATTCCCAGCCTTGACCGGCAAGTTTAGAAATTTTCTTAGCATCACCAACATAAAGATCTAGCTTGTTTATAATATATGCTAATATGCATGCTCGAAATAGTAAAAACGCGTTAGGTGCTTTTTTTTGGCGCTTGCCATTCCTTTTGTCTTTTAAAAAAGAACTTGTTGAAAGATGGGGAGGTAAAACTTGTACATTATATCTGAACATTTGAAAAGTCAATTTCCTAAAGTATTAATTGCTTTTGAATATTTTATGGTTTTTGGTAGAAAAAAGGAAAAATAAATATTACTTTTTTTTAAAACAAGCAATATTTTGTTCTATAAAACTCGAAAGGAAGTTTTATTTATAAAAATAGACATTGTACATTTATTTGTCCAGACATATAAAATGTCATGAAGCATTGAGAAATATAAAAAATCTTTGCAATAGATTTACTTTCTAATTCATGCATAATGAATAATACGTAATCGATAACGGTAACGATAATGTCAATAATGTCAATAATGTCGATAATGTATGCTAAATGTAAGTCCTTTTGACCAATCAATTAATTTCCTAATTGGAGGGGGCTTTTTTTCTTGAACGAGGAACGAAATTTATAAATGCAAATGAACAATGCTTAAATGTTTAAATACTGATGATAAAGAGAGGGATAATCAATAATAAATAATATATTCGGAAAGCTATTATATAATTTAATTAAAAACATAATAAATATATACACTGACACCTCGTGTTCAAAAATTTTTAAAAAAGTCAGTTTATCGAGGCAGGTTACTATAACTATTCCTGAACTAACTTCAAATTCGGTTTATGCAGGTTTTAACGTTAACGTTAATTAGCGCTTCGGTTTAACGTGGTGTCACTTTCCTAACGCGTGATTTGGAATCAGTCAAGTAAGTTTAACAAATGCATCTTAGTCAAGGAAGAACCAAATGAAATGTTGAGTGCTTATTTTTTTATATCAAATTTAGTGAAGATTTCGATTAATATTCTTTCATAGAATAAATAAATTCAAAATCATACAAAAATGGGAATAAAACAACGCGAAAATAATTTGAAATCATAATAATTAAATTCAAAGAAAAAAGTCCTTGGTACTTTGCAAGTGAACAAAGATAAAATTCATACATTACAAAATATTTCTCTCGAAGTAATGCTTGACGAACAGCTTTATATACAAGTAAAATTAGTCAAGAGAACAAAGCAAAAAGGTGAAGAATGAAAGATTCATTGTGGAAATTTCAAATTACTTTATTCCAATATTTTGATTGGATAATTTATTTCCTTAAATTCCGAAATGAAGCATTGTTAAGTGATGACGTTACGCTTTTTTCGTTTCACAGCAACTATATATAGGAACTTTATAAAGATTTTTTTGGTAAAAAAATTGTATTACGAACATTATCACTATTTACGTACTTTCAATACGTCAACATTGTTACCGATTAGCAATCTAATTCCCTTATTTGACTAATACATGTACATGTACTACTTTTATAATGGCGAAATTTTTAAAGGTCTTGTGTTAATAACTACAGATATTGATGTTGGGATTTATGCTGTGGAGTTTATTTAATCTTAATCGCGCAGTTTTCTCAACAATGCATTTTCCAATTATAAGTAATAATTAATAAATCGCAATTGTCACAAACGTTTCGTCAAAAAATCAGTCATTTTTTCAGGATTAAAAGTGGTAACCCTTCAAAACAACAAATCCTATACTACCGTACGTGGCGAATTAAAGATAAATTTATAAGAGTTATTGTACACAACTAAGCAATATTTTTAAAACTTTTAAACACATACAATTTTGTTTTAATATTACAAGTAAAATTGGTGATTAATTTGCTGCACAAATTATAGAGTAAAGTACTGCTGAAATTATAGAGTAAACTATATGTATTATATAAATTACGTATGGTGCAGTTTATGGAACAAATTTTGGCACATTTATCATTATGCCTTTCTCGGGATATAACTACATGTACATACATGTATATGTTGTGCGTTAGACATTTGGGACATTTGGGTGTGCGACATAATACATATACATGTAATAACGATAATCAAACACAGTCCAAACCACACTGTAAATTCACTAATGCAGGGATGAGTTCAAAGGATCAATAGAAGGAATCAAAATTTTTATCGTTACGCATTTCATTTACATTTATATTCTAGATCGATAACATTTTTTAATTTTAAACAAATGAAGAGTCCACTGAGTCAATAATGAGAAATCCATACCTCTCGATGCTACTCCAAACTAATATTCCAATTTTGCAAAAATTATGATTTATTACGTTTATTTGTTGATTTATCCGATTCACTTTAATATGGATTGATTTTACAATCCATTACTGAGAAATGATAAATCTTAAAATTAAGTATCGTTTAGGATGCGCAGTTTGACATATATCAATCGGAAAAAGGGATTATATTGTGATTGTGGTGTTTGTTTTTATGTGTTAAATTTTCCGAATTAATGTTATGCTGCCACGTCGCGTGGTTACATTCAGTTAACACTTCTGGCGCAAGAGTGTATCTTATGCACGACAGATTAACTAATTAAACGACTTATGCATACATTTCTCGAGCCTTGACGGAATACTTTAAGTTAAAATATAAAAGATGCATATAATTTATAAAGGTTTCGCTTGCTATATACTTTCAAATTTTTGATTTTTGAAAAAATCCTTTTTCGATTATGTTGTAACACTATCCCTAAAGTAAATTTATGTAACCAATATAGTTCAAATTGATTAATCAAGTACAAAACAAGAATTTCTAAAATATAAATAGATTGCGTCCATACACATGATACAAAATCATCTTGAAATACATATTTAGTGAATAAATAAAAAAATGAAAATAAAAGAAAATTATGTAAAAAGAGATATCATTGTAAAGTTTGAAACTAGAAGAGTGTTTTAAATTGGTTGTGGAATGTGAAATAAAGCTTTAGCTAAAGAGTAACTTTGCTTTTTCACTTTTGAAAATATGGCTTAGTTCATAATCAAGAGATCTATATGAACAAAATGTGAGAAAAGTTTTTAATTAATACTTTTATTAATATGTAATTAATATTTTTACTATTTTTTATTAATAATAATATTATATTTTTTTTATTAATTATAAAACTAGCAAACAAAAGTTAAAAAAAAATTAAAAGAAAGAAGTAAAATAATAAAAAAATTTAGTTCTATAATAATTTTTACTGAAATTATTATAGTTCAAAAGAATAAAATATATAGAAAAGTCAAGTTAAATAAATAAAGAAAGTATAATATAATATTTTAATTCTTTGTACTAATATTACATATTACATATTACATATTACAAAATTAAATATATAGTATTATTAAAGTAATAAAGATTTCTTAACTTTGTCTTTTTTATAAATAAGAAATATTATATTTTTAATAAATAAAAAATTATAATAATTCAATTATAACAAAATATTAATAATTAGTTAATAACAAAAAGATTTATCTAATATTTTTAATAATAATATTTTAATGAGTTCAATATAATTCAAAGATACTTCTATATAAGCTTTGAAATATATAATTAAGAATAAGTGACAAAATATTTTAATATTAAAAAATATTGTTTTATTATATTATTTATTTTCAAATATTAATATATTAAATTAAAGCTCAATTATTATTTGTATTTACATATTTTTACAAATATAAATATAATAATTTGAAAACAAGGAAAAAATATAAAAGGTAAATATTTTAACTAACAATAAAATTCTTACTAAATATAAAAGAAAATAAGAGAGAAAAATAAATAAATAATTACAAATTTTTTATATAATATTATTAAAGAACTTTTGAAATTTTTATAGTTTTTACCATTTGAACTACTTTTTTCGTTGAGTTTTTGGGTATTGTCACGTGTTTGCATGTGACTTGCTTTAAAATAAAAGGTGGTTAATAGGACGGCTTCATGAGTGTAAGGACATCTCATTTAGTGCTCTAACCGGGTCGGATCCACGTTATTTCTCGTTCAATATTAATTGGAATTAAACGAAAATTTGTGGGTATATACACAATTACATTCCGAACAACTCTATTTAGACACCAAATACAATTGCCTTAGTAAAAATAAAAGTTATTAACTAAAAATTATTTTACGATTTTTGGATCAAACCCGATCCGAATCCGACCTGACCCGAACAGAGCTTTAATCTCATTATTCTCTGCTTCGGTGGGGATGCCCTAAAAGGGTCACGAAGGTATTTGTGACTTGCATTCTGGAAATATATTAATAAATCATTATGTTCAAACTTCTGATTTTGGACTTACCGGCCCAGCTAATTTAAATAAATCTAATCGAAAATTTACAGTTTAATCCCGGGGCGCTAAATGGGAACAAGCTGCAGATATTTATAAGTATGGGATATTATGTGCGAGATTGTAATAGTTGAACCACCTTTTGATGAGCGAAATCATGATAGGTATATTGTATACGACAGTTATAAAGGAGTCCGACCTAAGATAATGTCAAATACTGTTCGGGATGGTGTTTTATTATTCCAGAAAATATACTAATTGCTAAAGAACTTTTTGAATTTATCTACTCGATCAAAATCAACTGAATATTTTGGATTTTCAGTACTACAGCTTTTTAGAACTTCCTAAAACACAAAGAAATTATTGATACTAGAAGAACAGAAAATAAATTACTACGAATAAAATGCAAACAAAAATCCGGTCAAGTCCAGTCGAGTCTTTATTCCAAGGTTAATTTCAATCCCAAATGTTACTGGTACTTTTTATTTTTCATATTAATTATGATTTTGTTTTGCATACAAGTGTCTGTTCGTATCTCAATTTAGAGTATATAGAATATATATAACAAATAATGTTCTTTCTTGACTTAGAAATTGGTAATATATTTTATTCAATGACATACTTTATGTTTATCGCGAAATTGTTTACAATAGAGGA